AGTATATTCAGTACTTGGTATGTCCACTCTTCACATTTTATTAAATCTAAACTGCCCAGGGTGGTGTTGCAAGCCTGTTACCCCAGCAATTTGGAAGGCTAAAGCAGGAAGATCACAAGTTCAAGGCCAGCCTCAGCAATTTAGTGAGGCCCTAAACAACTTAATGAGACACCTTCCCCTTCAAAAATTTAAAAAGGGTTGGGAATGTAGCTCAGTGGTAAATCCTAGCACCCAAAATAAACCGTATTGTAAGTGATGAAAAGATATTTTAGAGTGGTTATTTGGTTTTAACTTTTTAAATGAAATATGTGTTCTAAGAATTAAGAGTTTTAGTCATAAACAATTCCTAATTTAACAATATGGTTTTTCATCTAGGCAAAGAATATGATTAATGTCTGCATTTTCTTCACAAATTGGTTAGAACAAGTTTTTCTTTTTTAACATAAAAGAGTGTTTTTGTTGTTGTTGTTGTTTTAAGTTTGTTTTTTTTTTTTAGTTGTAGATGGGTACCATACCTTTATTTTATTTATTTATCTTTATGTGGTGCTGAGGATTGAACCCAGTGCCTCACACATGCTAGGCAAGCGCTCTACCACTGAGCTACAAACCCAGCTAAAGGAGTTTTTTCAGGATGTAAAAATCTAGTATTTCTTAGTACTTTTGAAATGCTTGTGTATTAATTACAATTATATTTATTCACTGGTTTATTACAAATGTGTTTTGATAATTATGACATGTAAAAAATTTTTGGTATGAATTTGGGGCACTGTTGACCCCCCCTTTTTTTTCTAAGAATCCAAGAGAAATTACCTACTAGCAATTACATTGGTCTTCTTTTAATTCCTCAGAAGAGTACTGGGCAACTCTGCAAGAATCCACATTCAGAAACCTGGTTCAGATGTTTATGAAAGCCATCAACTCTCAGCTGCATTACTGGACTGAAAACAATGAGAATAACTGTCACCTTAAAGCTCTACTAGAAATTTTGAAAAAGCTGCATAGGGTAAGGGTTCATTTAGAAACCTCCATGTCTGGAGTTGGCAATTATAGTTGATTCTCTTTTAATTGGCCTGAATTTTAAGCAGGCTTATGAAACATAAGAAATTTACATTGCCTTTTTCTTTTTTCTCTTTTAATAAAAAGGAAAAACTGTTTTATTGCTTTCCTAGCAAAGGAGAAACACAAGACTCTTATCCCTGAGTCTGTTGATTCTGCCCATGGTGGAGGTGGGGTTTAAAGAGGAAATTCAAAGGCTGCATTCCAGGTGTTCTCTGTCTGGGGTTGTAATTCACTAGTTAAATTAGGAGAGAGTAATTTCTTAGGTCTTCTGATGCCATTCCCAAGTCAGTCCCTTTCTTTGGTTTGTTGTATGCTCAAGAGCAGGTAACTCTGCATAGGATGGTGAAGAAAGGTAATCTGTTTCCTGGAGAATTAGGAGGGGAGATGAGGGAAGGAGAGGGAGTGAGGAAGAGAAAGAACATGTTTGTTTTAAAAATAAGTCACAGTGGCAGAGCAGCAAGAGCTATATTCAAAGGGTAAAGCAGACCACTGTTACATTTCCCCGCTGACAACTTTTACATTCCATTGCTAGGGGAAAATGAGCAATGACGTCTCCAAGCTTCTTCCCTCTAGAAGAGGGTGAAATTGAGGGGAAGTGGCCTGAAGTCCTTGTTCTCCATCAGGTGTAGATTGTTATTTTTTAATGTTGTGTTTTTTAAATTACATCATTGACATAAAGGATTATTCCATCTGGCCCTCCATGTCTGTGGGTTTCACATCCAGGGATTCAACTGAGAATTTAAAAGCATTTGAAAACAAAAATCACATCTGTTCTGCACATGTGCAGACTTTTTCCCCCCTTTTCATTATTCGCTAAATAATACAGTATAACAGCTATTCCTGCAGCATTTATGTTACATTAGATATCAAGTATCTAGATACTTAAAGTAGATGAGAGGTTATGTTTGGGTTACATGAAAATGCTGTGCCATTTTAAATAAGGGACTTCAGCAGCTTGGATTTTGGTATCTCTAGGGGCTCCTTGAACCAATCTCCCATGGATCCTAAGAAATAACTGGATATAATATCTATGTACAGAGATACACAAATAGATATAATACCTATTTGAAGAAAGGTAATAAACATCGGATACCTAAAACATAAAACATTTCCAATACTTTTGAAAATGCTGGTATATCCCTCAGAGATCACACTCTTTCCACTTCCCAGAGGTAGTGTGAACCTGGATTTGGGGTTAATTATTTCCTTTCTCTTTCTATTTTATGACTATAATATGTGTGTCTGTAAGCATTATGATGTTTACTTTTGCTGTTTTCAAAATTTATATGAATTATATTCGATATTTTGTTTTATAGATTACTCCAGATAATACTGATTGGCTGTATTTCATTCATTTCCACCGTGTACTGCGGTCCATTCTCTAGTACAAGCCATAATACATGCATTCCAGTATTGATGGATGCATATGCTCTTTCAGTTCCTTGGTTCAGTTTGGTTTGGTTTGGTTTTGGAGTGGGTATTACCTTATGAGAAAACATATTGTTATAAGTATTTTCATACTTATCTCTTGGTTTTCTTGGGCCAAGAGTTGATTTTTTTGTTTTCATAGCTGATTCTGGAATTGATAGGTTATGGAAATATGTGTTCTTTTTTAATAGTGACAAACTATTTTCTGAAATGACTAGATCAGTTTAATTCTTCTCTAGGAGATTATGAGAATTCCTATTGTTCCACATCAGGCTTTAAAATTTATAAGACATGTTTTATATGAAATGATACCAAATTATGATTTTAAATGAACTTTCCTGGTTCTAGTGTATTAGAGCATATTTTACATGTTTATAATTGCATTATTTGTTTCCTCTTCTCTAAAATGTCTGTCCTTGAATCATGTTCATTTTACATGGATATTTGCCTTGGCTAAAGGAGTTTTTAAAAATCTTAAACACTAGTCCTTTGTTAATTATTTGTGTTATAAATATTGAGTACTGGTTTATAGCTTGTCTTTCACTCTATAGTGTTTTTTAACAAATCTTATTTTTTATTTATTTATGCATTTGTTTGTTCATTTATAGTACTGTAGATTGAACCCAGAGATGCTTAACCATTGACCTATATCTCTCTTTTTTCTTTTTTATTTTTCTTCTTCTTTTTCTTTTTGGTACCAGAGGTTTGACCCATGGGTACTTTACCACTGAGGTACATCCCCAGTCCTATCTATCTATCTAACTATCTGTCTATCTATCTATCTATCTATTATTTTGAGATAGGATCCTGATAAGTTGCTGAGGGCTTCCCTAATTTGCTGAGTCTGGCCTTGAATTTGCAATCCTCCAGTCTCAGCCTCTCAAGTTTCTGGAATTACAGGTGTGCACCATTGCACCTAGCCCCAACCCTTAATTATTCTTATTTTTCATTTTTAATAGAGTCTCACCAAGTTGCCCAGGCTGGTCTCAAACATGAGATCCTCCTGCTTAAGCCTCCTGAGTAGCTAGGATTACAGATATACATTGCACCTGGCACTAGATAGTCTTCAGAGGATGATAGCCAAGGCCAGAGGAAGAAGATACATGGAAGCAGATATTTAGAATATTAGAAATCTAACTAACAGGGCTGGGTTTGTGGCTTAGTGGTAAAGTGCTTGCCTAGCATGTGAGAGGCACTGGATTCGATCCTAAGCACTACATAAAAATAAATTAAGGTATTGTGTTCATCTAAACTAAGAAGAAAAAAAATCAAATGTACTTATTAAAAAGAAAGAAAGAAACCTAACTAACAAACTGTTAAATGTACTCTATCCTCCCTCCTAGAAAAATAAAACCTAATAATGACAGGGGAAGCTAGGGTGGAACTTAGAAATTTCAAGCTCCTTATAGCATTCTACACTGAAAAAAGTGGCAGCTCAGACAGGTCCCTCACTGAGCCCTCTGTACTTCTTTTCTTACGTGGGTCTTATCCCTACACAGTGAGGAATGTCACATGCCTCTATGTGGATGCTTCCACCCACATACCCTGGCTTCATCCACCTCTACCACAAGTACTTCTTGGCCAGTCCTGAGAATTGGAGTGTGACAGAGTCCACTCTCCAGCAACCAAGCAGGTCGTAGAGGCTGGCGTGGAACCACTCTGCAAGATAAATGGGCTATAAGTAGACAGATCACTGTGGCTCTTGTCTAGATCTAGAGGAAAATGCTTTTAGTTTATTCCTTCAGAATTTAGTGTTTAATCTAATTGAAAATTGATATCAAATTTATATTGATTATTTTTCACATGGAAAATAATTAGTAACCATTAATTGAAATAGTGCCCTTTCCCCACTGATGGGAAGTTCAAGCTTGGGCACTGTCATAATTCAGGTTTCTATGTGTGACATTCATTTCTGGGCTCATTGCTGTATTACTGGCCATTTCTGACTCTCTTCTGATTGTTTATATCTGGTAAGAGAAGTACCCCTACTTTGTTTTTGAAGTGTATTTTTAGTTATTTTTTGCACTTGCCTCTTCAGTATAAATTTTAAAGTTGATTTGTCAAATTACACATATACAAAAAAAATCTTATTGGGAATTTGACTGGAGTTACATTGAATCCACATTTCACTTTAGGGAGAACTGTATCTTTACTATGACTGAAAGTCTTGGATTTTTTTAATTGGTTCCGAGATACTTAGTCATTTTTAGGCTATTGTAAATCATGATTTAAAAATTATAGGGGCTAGGGTTGTGGCTCAGCAGTAGAACACTTGCCTCACACAGTGTGAGGCAATGGATATAAAAATAAACAAAATAAAGGTATTGTGTCCATCTACAACTAAAAAAAAAAAAAATTTTTAATTACATTATGACCAGGCACTGAGGCACACACCTGTAATCCCAGCAGTATGGGCAAGTGACGAAGCAGGAGGATCTCAAGTTCAAAGCCAGTATCAGCACCTTATAAGAACTTGCCTCAAAATAAAAAAAAAATTTTAAAGGGCTGGGGATGTGGTTTAGTGATAAAGTGCCTCTGGGTTCAACCCTGAAATGTACTTAGGTAAATAAATTATGTTACTAGCTTATGGGAACACATTAATTTTTTATTTATTTTTATTTTTGGTAGTGCTGGTATCAAACCCAAGGCCTTGTGCATACTAGTCTAACACTCTACCACTGAAATACACACCCCTAGTCCCAGAATTCATTGATTTTTAAATGTTGATTCTTATATCAGTTACTGCTAAATTTTCACATAGATCTTATGATTTATCTGAAGATTCTTTTGAATTTGCTGGGTTTTTTGTTTTCACTTTTTACTACTTTCCCATATTATACTGGATAGGCAATAGAGTGCAAATAAAAGTGGTAGTAATAGCAGGTACCTTGTCTTGTGATTTTAAAGGAAATGTTTTGCATGTCACTATTAAATAGAATATTTATTACATGGTTTTTGAAAATATACCTTTAATGGTCTGAGGATGTGCCCTCCTTTTCAAAGTTGTTGCATATTTTAAATTTAAGCCAATAATTGATGCTGTCCTACTGAGATTCCAGTTATATTAGACCATCTCACTGAATATCACTATGTGTCTCAAGCTTTCTTATTTTCCATCTCTTTGTCTCTCTGTACTCCATTCTGGATGATGATTGTTTTTTGAGGGGGACTAAACTCAGGGGCACTCAACTGCTGTGCCACACCCCAGCTCTATTTTATGTTTTATTTTTATTTAGAGACAGGGTTTCCTGAGTTGCTTAGTGAATTGCAGTTACTGAGGCTGGCTTTGACCTCTGGATCCTCCTGCCTCAGCCTCCCAAGCTGTTGGGATTACAGGAATGCACCACCACACCCAGTCATTCTGGATGACTTCTTCAACCTTGTCTTCCATTTCATTAATTCTCCTTTCAGTTACGTCTTTCTGCTATTAAAACTACCCTTTACTTTTTTATTAATTTGAAGTATGAATGTTTTTCATTTTCAGACATTGTGATTTGTTCTTTACATTTATTTTCTTGGTCATTTTTTACAATATATTTTTTCAAGTTTTCCCTTTATTTAAATGTATATATGTTATAACTCTAATACCTGAAGTATTTACAGGTCATTTCTTATGTCTGCTGAAAGCTCCTCCTGTCTCTCATCATGTGTTTTGTATTTGTGTTGAGAAAGCTTCATTCACCTTAGAGGTTTATCTTTTGGAATTAGTTGGTGGCTAGGATTTTTTTCAGGGAGAATTTGTTTCTGCTGTGTTCCTGCAGATAATTAAATTCTTGGCTTGAAGCATTTTAGATCCCCAGGTGGTAGGAGTTTAGTGTGCATATTTGTAGGAGAGCTCTAGTAATAACAAGTCCTCTGGGGAATATTTTTTCCCCAACTCAACACCATTCCAAATTGCTAGAGTTTGCCTTATGGCCCTAGGGTTGAGATGGGGGCGGATTGATAGAGGTGAAGGAAAGAATTTATTTCTAGGTCACCTTCACTCTGATGGCTTCGCCCTTTGGGTCTCAGGCCTGGGGATAGAATCTATTGACTCCCTAATTGGAACAGTGTGGTGGACTTTGTGTCCTTTCCCTGAAGGTCAAGTTCACAGGATTTGGCAAATGCCACCCTCACCTCAGTTTTGACCTGACTGTTCCCTATCTACTACAAAATCAGTAATGACTTTAAAATGTTTTCACAATTTCCCCTGTATTTCAGGTTTTCATTGGATCATCATTGCTAAAGAAAAAAAGCCTTCTATACTATTGAAAATAGTAGCTATCCCAGACTACATTCATTCATTTGTTTTTTTATTTATAGTACTGGGGATTGAACCCAGGGGCCCTTTACATCCCTAGCCCTTTTGTTTTTTATTTTGAGACAAGGCCTTGCTAATTTGCTGAGGCTGACCTTGAATTTGCAATCCTTCTGCCTCAGCCTCCTGAGTTGCTGGGATTACTGATGTACACCCACCACATCTGGCTCTGTCCTGGATTATTTCTAAAGGTCTTTTTAAAAAATATTTTTATTAGTTGTTGATGAATTTTATTTAGTGATTTATTTGTATGTGGTGCTGAGACTTCGAACCCAGTGCCTCACATGTACTAAGCAAGTGCTGTACCACTGAGCCACGATCCCAGCCCCTCTAAAGGTTTTGTATAAAAGGGAAAGATAATTTTTTTAAATGGGGTTTTTAAAAAGCGAGAAATTTATGGAAGAGCTCAAAGAAGTATCCTCTAAAGAGTTTTTACCACTTACAAAGAAAATCATGAGAAATGCTCAAGCAGTAATGGAAGAAATCCTCAAGGGATTTGTAAATAGTGTATTGTTAAGCTCTAGAAGAGTAAGAAATGAAGAACTGGCTTTTGCCTTTGGACTTAAAATGCTTTAAAAACTTTCCTCTGAATTTAAAGTAATCAAAAGTTTATCATATCATCAATTTCTCCTGTTAATTTTTGGGTATTCTTTTTGTTCATGAAAATTGGGGGATTTGGCAATTGGATACAATCTTACTGTGGTCATTAAGAATCGTTAATTTACTGTTTAATTCAATAATGTAACTAACAACCCTTAAGTAAAATTGTCTTTAAATATAAAGTGTTCTGATGTCACATTTTATTTTAGGTAAACCAAATTAAATATCAACTGCCTGAAGATATTTTCAAACTAGATGTACTCTCAGATTGGCTCAATTTTTATGGAGAAGCATATAGAAGGTCCTGTTGGAAAATGAACTTGGTAAGTTTGGCATGTTTGAGGGGAGAAGATGATTATCAGTGAGTTAATTTAGATATTCTGCCCCAACTTTCTCCATGAGTTTCTGAGAAACTTTGCACTCTATAATTGCACAATTGAAATAGCAGGCTGGTAGGAAGAATAAGACTTATTAAAACCTATGCAGTTTTTCACCAGAAGCACTGGCAGAAAAGTGATTGTGCCTGGGACCAACCAGGTGAGCAGGCCTCAGGGAGTGCTATAAGAAGAAGACAAATTTGCTGAAAAAGCAAAGGTAAAACTCTTTTCACGCTCTGAGAGAACTGGTTGTCTCTGATATTACACAGATGGAAGCTCCAGTGCCTTTGGGGGCCCCAAGACTCACCAGGCACCAAGAGCCAGCAGTCCAAAGCTACAGCTTTGGGGAGGGAGTCCTGGTGTAAGCACTCTTTGTTTTTAAAAAATATAGTTCAGAGGTTTGTGATGCCAGTGCTGTAGCTGATTGAGGTTTTTTTTCCCTTTCTCTGGAGGTTATCATTCTTCTGGCATATCAACCCTTGCTTGATGAGACATGACTGAGTTAGCCCGCTCTCCACACTGTATCAATCCCTTGTTCCCCGAGCTGATTCACATTTCAGACACTCAGGTTGCTGTGGGATGGACTCTTTTAGAACATGTCCAAAGTTTATAATTGCCAAATTAAATGGTGCTGAAAATATTAGGCTTACATACCTTTCGTTGGTGACATGTTAAATACATTTCCTACAACTACTACTGCTGGCCAGCAATTTTGATTGCTTTGGCTGGAAGTACTGAAACTTTGAAACCAAAAGGGATTTAAGGCTATGAGGTAAGGTGTAAGAGGTCTCTGTTCTTCTAATTTATCAGAATTCTCATCGTTTTCATTTTTAGGATACTTCAGAAGATATGCATTGTGTCATATTCAGTCACTTTCCATTTGTTTTTGATATTCGGTCAAAAACTAAACTACTTTATGCAGACTCAATTCTAAAAATACAGGTACGAATGCCTAGTTCTCTGTCTTCGTTAACATAAATTACAAGATAAATTCCTTCTTGAGTGTGCCCTTTTTCGGGGGTGGTAAGGGAGCCCCTGTTGGCAAGGCCGCAGCTATGGCATTTAGGAGTTTTTTCTCTAAAGAAAGCCAGGAAGGAGCTGGGATTGTGGCTCAGTGGTAGAATGCTTGCCTAGTATGTGCAAGGCTCTGGGTTCCATCCTCAGCACCACATAAATAAATAAGTAAATTAAAGAAATAAAGGTATTGTGTCCAACTACAACTAAAAAGAAAAAGAAAGCCAAGAAAACTCAGAATTTAGGTTGCTCAGACCTTAGGCATGTTAGGGCATCTGTCACAAAGGACAGATCTTGAGCAACTGACCTAGTTGTGATGTTTTTACCTGAAGTTGTCAAGGGAGCCTGTAGTCTTCTGAATAGTACTCAAAAGAAGTATCACTAATCTAGGTGTGATTAGGATTACTTCTAATACTTAAGGAGGTACAATCTAATGGAAAGGTATACAGCAGGAATAAAATGTGACAAAGGAGCCTTGAAATTAGGACCTCTATAGGTAGTACTCTGAGTGTTCCATTTCAATGTACTGTCAGCAGCTTAAGTGGTTTTGTTTGTCAAGACATCTAGCAAAGTGGTTTTGGACCTAAAACTGGACAAGTGAAAGCATTAAAGGGCCTGAGGTATAGCTAGGTTTATATGGTAGAGCACTTGGCCCTGGGGTCAATCTCCAGCATCACTCCACACACACCACCATTCCAGAAAAGAAAAATTCACGAGGAAAATATATCAGATAATCCCTACCTCACTGTTGTTTTGAAAGGATTAAATTTGTTAATAAAGCATTTAAAACAGTACCTCGCACAATGTACATTACCCAAAGTAATAGCAATTGCTATCACGTACTCTTATATACAGACATGTATATATGAATGTATAATATTCAAATAAAAGTCCTTAAAATAAGATACTCTCACATAATGCATTTACAGAATAGGATATCATTTATAACTTTTAAGTGTGATCATTCTTGGAATATTTAACAAAGAAAATGAATTTTAAAAAGACACAAAAACTTTGTTTTGCTTCAACTCTCATACCCTATTTTCCCCTGATTTTAAGCAAACTTCCAGTGATAATTTTAGTTCTTTATTATTTATTTTTTTATATGTGGTGCTGAGGATTAAACCCAGGGCCCCACACATAACTAGGCAAGCACTCTATTGCTGGAGCCACAGGCTTCCCAAAGTGCCATTTAATTTGAGACTAAACATTCTGCCTACTTTAATTTCCTCTATCTCTTCTCTCTCTCTCCTCCCCTAATTATTCCTCTCTTCTATTAACTTCGAACCTGGGTTTTTCCTACAGCCTGCTTCCTTTCTAAACATCTGATTTTTAAATGAGAGTTTTATGCTGCAGTGCACTGTCCCAGTGAATAATATTGAATCTCTCAGCCTTTAAAAACCTAAACGTTAATAGTTGTGTTAAGATAAAGTGGTCCAGTAAAACCTACATTTGGTCACTTCCCTGCATGTTTAGTTTGGCTCTGCACAGTATTTTGTTCCAAAGGTCCCACATTTCTTCTGCTTGCTAATAGCAAATACTGAATGTATTGTTTACTTCCAGGGGTTTATATAAGGCTCATTTCATAAATGCAAGGTGTAATTATAAGTAAAACTGGTTTATTCCATTTTACAAATTTCTACTTAAAGAGGGAAAATAGCAAAATGAAATGAAACATTTTTCTTTCCTTAGGAAAGAAAAATTCGAGCTTACGTGAGTTTGGCAGGAATTATTGAACAAGAAGAGTCTGAATTAGCTTCATTGTCCACCTTTAATCTAAGAGTCAGAAGGAATCACTTGATTGAGGATGTTTTGAGTCAGCTCAGTCAATTTGAGAACGAAGACTTGAGGAGAGAGTTGAGGGTAAAGTATAATTATCATTTATAATTCTTGGTGTTGAGAGAAGAAAAAAAAGAAAGGAACAAAGGGTGTTAGAGGAAGTCCTCTCCCTTTGCCACAAGGTGGTCTTTAGGGGCTTTTTCTGGTCCATTGTGTTTCCATAGGTAGTTGTAGCATCTCCTCAGTGCCCTTGGGGTTAAGCAGCAAGTGTACAAGCTCTGGCTTTGCAGTTTTTTGAAAATCCTAATATTTATGATTTGTTTATTTAATTTTTATTATGTTTAAGGGACCTGATTACTAAAATAGAGATGCAAGTCAAGGACTGTTTTATGGTAAAGACTTCTAGGTCTGGGGTATAACAGATTTAGGATGAAATCTGGACTGTGCTCCATAGCTGTTGACAAAAACTTGGGAGAGTTTATGAAATTCTCAAGCCTTATTCCCCTCTTAGAGTTAATTGGGAAACTAGATAGGATAAAACAAGTAGGATGCAAACCACAATACCTACTAAAACTTGGGTTCGAAATTGTTAGTAACTATTATTACAAAGAGAAACTTCATACAGAGCCCTGGAAGTGATACCTTATTTGCTGTTTCCCCAGGTTTCATTTATTGGAGAAATTGGATATGAATATGACCTTGGAGGAGTCAAGACAGAATTTTTCTACTGTTTATTTGAAGAGATGACCCGGCCAGAATATGGGATGTTCATATATCCTGAAGAGGCCTCCTACATGTGGTTTCCTGCCCGGGTGAGCCCTCTTTTCTTTGCTTGTGGTATTCCATGACCATAAAAGTGTGTCATATGCCACAGAAAACTATTTTATGGTAGGAGTTATTGATGTCATTTTGAGATAATCTTATAAGGATTACTAAGCCAAATATGTTTTTGTTCCTGTTATGGTTTTAGTATAATGAAACTGTGGTAGGCACTTAATAACCAAATATATTGATTTAATATCCAAATATAAACCCTAAATATCCTTTTTTTTTTTTTTTAGTACCATGGTTGAACCCAAGGGTGCTTAACCATTAACTGAGCCACATCTCCAGCCCTTTTTTATATTAGATTCAGAAACAGGGTCTTGCTGAGTTGCTTAGGGTCTTGCTAAGTTGCCGAGGTTAACCTTGAATTCACAATCCTCCTTCCTCAGCTTCCCAAGCCCCTGGGATTACAGGTGTGCACCACTACACCCAACTAAACCCTAAATGTTCTTACCTCAGAATTTTTGATGTTATTTTGCAATTTGATTTTGTGAAAGTGGAAAAGGAATTTACCTGACATGAACATTTCACTGTAATGAAAAAGAATTCGTAATACTTTGAAATTGTTTTTCTCTTTTCAGCCTAAATTTGAGGAGAAGAGATATTTCTTCTTTGGGGTTCTCTGTGGACTTTCCCTTTTCAACCGCAGTGTGGCCAACATCCCTTTCCCACTGGCACTGTTCAAGAAGCTTTTGGACCAGGTGCCATCATTGGAAGACTTAAAAGAACTCAGTCCTGTTTTGGCAAAGTAAGGAACACAGTCCCCTTTTAAGATCTTATCTAAAATATATTAAGATATTAAGATAAATATTTAAATATGCACACTGCATTGTTATTTCATGTTTGACATTAGCATTTTAGGTACTTTGAACCACTTTTAACTCTGGTAAGAACTGTTGGACAATAGTTTCATGTTCTAAAATTAAGAAGAGTTGATTGTTCCTATGACTTACACCTCGGCACTCAGTATTATCTTTGAGCATTTTCTATGTGGAAAATTTCATGAGCAGACACAATACCTTGGTGCAAAATCGGCTAATGATGTTTATATTAGATGTTTCGTGGTCATCACTTTTTGGGGGGGGGTACTCGGGATTGAACCCATGGGTGATTTACCACTGAGCCACATCGCCAGCTGTTTTTAAGTTTTATTTTGACACAGGGTCTCTCTAAATTACTTAGGACTTTGATAAGTTGCTGAGGCTGGCCTTAAACTTGCAATTCTTCAGCTTCAGCCTATGGAGTTTCTAGAATTACAGGCACGTGCAACCACACCAGGCTAGTTATCACCTTTAAAGTAGAAATTTATTTTTAACGATTGACTAGCTTCACTTAGCATAATCTGCTCTAATGCCATCCATTTCCCTCCAAATTCTATGATTTTGTCGTTCCTTAATGCAGAGTAATACTCCATTGTGTATA